GAACCCCTGATATGTTTTAAAGCCTTCTCTCAGCTTTCTTCTTCTCCTTTGTATGTTGGAAATTCATCTTCAACTGCAATCGCAATGCCCCCAGAGGGAAAAACACCCCAGCACAAGGCAGACTTCCCTCTAGGCAATGTGAGTCTGTACTACCAGAGCAAAAAAGGCTTTCATCTCAAAATCATTCATTTCCAGAGCACTTGACCCAAAAGGAAGTCTCCTTTATTTCTATAAAAGTCACTTTCTCTACCGAAATCCCGTGGCCTCGGAAGGGAGCTGGGAGGCAGCTTTCTGCACTTCCATTGCCTGCTCAGAGCCCAGCTGCAGCAAGCAGTGCCTGCCATCACTGCTGGGACACGGCTGGGGCACAGACCAGCCCTGCTCCTGCAGCACCAGGATGACAGCAGACCCCAGGGCTGGGAGCTCAGGGACCTCCCCTGCTCCCCAGAGAGCTCCTCTGGCCCTGCCAGGCTCCACGAGCCCCTTCTGCCCAGAGATGGTGGCAGAGAGGGGGCCTTCTCTGACTATTTCCATCCTTCAGGAAGAGCCAATGCAGCAGGTGCAGTAGTTGGCATCTGACTTGTTTCTCTTCAGATGCTCCAAGCCAGAAGCGATCCCTTTCCCAGCAGGAAGCCATGGATACAAGGGTGTATCCTCAGCACCCGGGTGAATTTGGACAGCTCTGTGGTGCTACCAGATGTGCCACACAGAAATCAGCTTGTGCAGACAGCGGGGTCAGGGCCTGGGGAGCTGCTTCTGCCCAGGGAGCTGTGCTGACTCCATGAGAAGCCAGTTGTGATCCACACCTCCAGGAGCTCCCAGATCAAGGGATGTTCCTGTGAGGCACTCAGGCCTGGAATGGAGGGGAAAAGTGGTACCAGCAGTTCAGCAGGAGGGAGGAGAAAGGCTGTTTGCCAGAACCAGCAGGCAGCCAGGCAGCTGGTGTGGGTGAGATGAGAGCTCCTGGCTCCCACAGCCACCTGAACTCGGGGGAAGATGCCACCATGGACAAAGATCTCCAAACTAAGGCTCCCAGCCCAGCTTTGACCCTTGTGAGTGGCAGGACAGGGGCACCACGTGCTGGTTACACACACCCCTGTTCTATCCTACAGGACACTGAACGACACTTGCTTAGCTGGGACACAGCTCAGTAAGGCAACCCCGGGCTCATAAAGTCATAGTCCTGCACAAGCCACTGTTCCCATGCTGAGTTTTGCAATGGATGTGCAGCACAATGGCCCAGACTCAGGTGAGGGAAAGGACAAAGAGCCCACATTTCTACCCCTCCAACCTGAAAAGAACCTGAATCCCAGTCCCTAACGTGCTGGAAAGAACCCAGGGACTCACAAGGCTGGTTGTGCAAGAGCTCTGTTAATTCCATGTTTTTTAAGCAGCCCTTGGAGTTCTTTTGAGTGCCTGCTGTTGAGATCCCTGCAAACAGCTCCTGAGCATGAGCTCTGCTCTCTCCCACTGCATCTGTGTGTGTTTAGGTCTGGCTTACTCGACAGGCTCGGCCATCCTGGAGGGAGCAGATTTATCAGGCAGGACTGGCAATAAAGATAAGAGTGTTGGTGATGATTCCTGAAGTTGAATTGCTCCCAGTGCACTGGGAGGGCATATCCAGTGCAGGACACCTACAGAGTTCTATAGAATAAATATGACCTGCTTCAGTTTATATAAACCAGCTCCACAGAAGCATTAAACCCAAACAGTACTGCCCTTACAGGGAAGAAACAGGAGGAGCTGGGATATCTGAATTGCCTTTCCAGTGAGGAGGCAGTCTGCTGGAGGCACTGGTTGTAGAGCATGCAGAGGCAGCACACACACCCTCACACACACCCTCGGTACGTCACCCAGAGGATGTAGCAGCTCTGGCATCACAAGGTGATACCTGTGCCTGTGGAGGCTCTGCCTCCCACTGATGCAGCCCAACAGCATCCCAGAGCAACAAACTGACTCCAGCCCCACGTTCCTGGGGGACAGTGCACGGCCCCAACTCACAACACTGCACAAAGCAAACTGATTGCAGATTTTGCTGGCACAGCCACGCAGCAGCACAGCTCCTGCTTCCCTTCCTTCTGGGAAGTGGCACAGCACAGGCAGCTCTGCACCAGGCTGTCAGGAACAGATTCCCACTGCACTGGAATTAGAGACAGGTCCAAACAAACCTGCTCCCTTCCAGGGATTGGGGAGTCACACCTGCCTCTCTGTTTTCTGAAAAGCAGGTACAACAGTTTTGTCTGTTCAAGGTGCACCATCCCTGATCCTCTGACAGCAGCACTGAGCAAGATGCTCAGAATCAAAGGGGATTTTTGAATCAGCTTGGGTGGCCACCAGCTATTTCAGGTTGGGCTGATTTCTGCAGGCAGCATTTCTGGTGAGGCCTTTTTGAAGCTATGTCCTTCAGCTGAAACACCCCCCCAGGCCCCTCTTTTTCTGACCCCCCCAAGGAAAGTGAAATTCCTTAAGGAAAATAACTTTCAAAGCTCTCTGAGATTTAAAAGTCCTATTAAACTAATTTTTAGGATGCAGGGAAAAGAAAGCTTAAGCTAGACAAACTAGTGGAAAAACTGATCTATTAAAGCAGTGGATACTACCAGGGAAGTGAGCAATTTCCTATAAGCACCATAACCATTGCATTTCTGCTAGAGCAGACCTATCTCACCTTCCCAGCAGCATTCCCTCTACCTGCCCTGTTCCTGGAGTCCATTTCAACAGCTCCAATGGTGTGATGCACTTCAGTGACCTATTAGCTGTCACCTGCTCAAGATACAGCCATGGCACATTTGCCATTGTGTAAAAGCAGCAGCAGCAAACATAACACCCTAAATAAATGTTCAGAGGCTGCAGAGTGGTGTAATTAATCACAGGGTCTTTCACAGGCAGCAGCAGGGAGGGGGAAGCACAAGGCAAGGCTGTGGGAGGGGGTCATCAGGGCCCCCTTCTGCTGTCTGTCCCCATCCTGCCCTGCCAGAGGCTACAGGAGCCAAGGGATGAGAGACCAGGCAGCAGCTGGAGTTGGAGTCAAGGTCAAGCTCCATTTCACAGCTCATCCCATTTTGTGAGCCCCGGCAAGTGACAGTTTCCCCAGCCTGCTTTGTTTGGGCACATCCCTGATCAGCAGACAAGTAGCCCTCATTGCCAGGGTCTGCAGAGGTGCAAAGTTAAGACTGCTCCAAACCCACTCTCTGCCCTGCTGGACTTGCATCTTCCCTTTCCCACATTCCCCAGGGCCCAGACCCGCTGACACAGACAAGAGATGTCAAAGGAAGAGACAGAAGGAACAGCTTAAACACCCTGAACTGCATCCCTCCAAATCCTCCCTTGGCAGACAACCAGCTCTCAGCTCTCCTTCCCTGCAGTTATCTCCTCCTGCAATCCCTGGGAATGTACTCCGTTGGGATGCTGGCTCCTGCTCCCCACCCAGCAGCTGAATAGCTGCACCAAGGGACACAAAGTCTGGGGACTGCTTGGGGAAAAAAACCCAGGAAGCCTCAAATTTAAGACACAGCAGAGTCTAGGACACAGCACACCTCTGTCAGCACGCCTTGCTGCCCAACAGCAATGCTCTCCCTCGACAGCCGGCCCCCAAGTTCATCAGCAGAAGCAACTGGAATAGCTTAAACCTGGGAGAAACCTCCACCATCACCACTTGAGAAAGTCTTCAGGGACTCTTGGACTCACCAGGATGGCAGAAATGGCAAGCTGGGAGCCAGCAGGACTTCTCCAGGGCGAGCTGACTGATGCCTTGGCTGAGCCCTCTGCTCTTCCCGACCTGAATCCTCCCTCATCCAAGGACACTGGTCAATGCGGAGGTGTCCTCCTGATTCAGAGGGGCACTGCCCTCCCCTGAAGAGACAGAGACAAGAAAAGGTGTTTTTAGTTCCTGACATTGAGCAGAAAACTAAAGCATAAGTCCTAAAGGCTGTGTCAGCATTCACCCTGAGCCCCAAGGTCAGCCCACCTGAGTCATGCCTCCTCTTCCTCCCTTTTTTTCAGCCCCACACCCTGCTCTCTCCAGAAGGCTGGCATTCTCCTGCTCTGACCAGCTGCTGGAGCAACACACCAAAGCACTGCAGAGCAGAAGAAAAAAAAAACCCCAAACATATATATAGCAGCCTTTGAGCCAAGCTTTTAATATTTCATCTTTCTTTTTCTGCCAGAAGAAAGTAAATTCCTTATGCTGGCTGGGCTGCAACCTCACCACCACATCCCTGTGCCTCAGACAGCCCTGGCTGCCAGCCCCTCCAGGCAGATGGGGAGTGCAAAGGCTCATCTTCCTCCCACACAACCCCTTCTGCTCCGGCGTCCCTTGACACTGGTCAGGCAGCACAGTGGGGAGGAGGCACTGAGGGGACAGGGAGGCCTGGGCAGCTGCCTAGGAACTGCGGAGTTCAAGATGCTGCAGAGAACCCCACACTGAGCTCCACGAGGCACTCGGACGCCTCGATGGACCCCCTCTGGTGGAAGAACTTGTCCGGGAAAGGTGACAGGTCAGCAGGCACCAGGTCACCCCGAGTGGCATCTGCCAATCCCCGCCACCGAGCTCCGCGTCAAAGCCAGCCGCCATCCCACCGGCACACAAACCATCCATCAGGCATCATCTGTGTCAAAGCCAGTTTTTATTTGTAAATTTAATGTCTGTAAAGTATTTTGGCTTTAAATTATTCCACAGCCTCCCCTCGGTTCAGCAGCGCTTCCCCGTCTAGACAGAACAATCTTGTTGTCAGCGAAACAGATTCGCCCTGACATCCCCGCCGCGATGCCGCTGCTGTTTTGTAGAATGGAAAAGAGCTAAAAAGCCCTTTCTTTACTGTTTTGAAATGTGATTCCTGTCCATTCAACTTCAAACAAACGCCTCAATAAATAATCGTGCTGTCTTTGGTTTGATCTCTCCGTGTTGGGAAGATGCACGGACGGAGAAACGGGGCATGGCTCAGCGTCTGTTGGGTCTGGCATCTCCCAGTGCTGCCTGCAGCGTGCCTGCTCTCCTGGGAGCAAGGGATTCCCACTTCTCCTGCTCTGTCTTTCAAACCCACCTGCTTTGGCTCTCTCCTGGGCTGCAGAGCAAGGACTGGAGTGTGGAGATCTCTGTGGCAGCAAAGTCCCTGCTCCCAAACACTGATCTGTCTGATCCTCTGCGGGACAAACCTTGGATGGCTGGTAGGGAGATGCAGGACAGGCATCAGCAGCCTGAAAGAGATATTAAACCAAGTCAAAACACATTTTGCATATCACTTTTGTTGCCAGGTCTCTGCCAGCATGAAAGACTACAAATACTTCCATTATAATTTAAAAAGTACTTTTTCCCCTTGTGCACCAAGGCAAAGGTAAACGAGAACGAGCATTCAGCAGCACCTCCTGTCAGCCTGAGGTACTTGGAGAGAGAAAACAGCCTGATCCAGCCAAAAATAACATTGCTCCCCTTTTGCTGTCAGTGACACATCCTTGATGTCTGCAGTCAGAAGTGACAGGTACCAGTTGGGGATCTTTCCATCTCCTCTCCTGGTAAGACGGCCACCCACGTGGCAGCAGGGAGGTGATCTCTACCTTGTTCAAGGCATTCCCTGCCTGGGCATCATCCAGGGGAAAGGCACAGCCCCAGAACTAAGCCCCTTTGGAGCTGGACACAATCACACGGGAACAGAGGGGCCTCCGTCAGAGCAAGCTGAAGGTCAAGAGCTCAGCCCCAGGGATGCCTCTCCAGGGTGCCTGCAAGCCAGGTGGGGATGGAGAAGAGTCTGAACTCATCAACAGGCACATCTACGGGTGGAAAAGGGACACATTACCTGATTTTAATCCCCAAATGCTCACAGACCTCCAGGAGGTGCCCAGTATCAGACTGTATCAGACTGTAACAGTAACAGACTGTATCAGTCCTCCTGCATTAACATTTAATCCCAATGCCAGAGCATCACACTATAGATCAACTGCAAAAGCACTACACAGAGAAAGAGACACTTGCCTCTAAATATTCAAGCAGAAAAAGTGCCTCTGAATATTCAAATAGGAAAAATGAAATCATGAAGCAAGAACTTGTTTTCTGCACAGGCACCACCATCCAGCAGCGCAATGGGAAGAGCTACACAAGAAAGAGCTGCTTCAGGGCACCTCCACCCCTGCTTCCCACCCTTCACCTCATTAATTCATCCCTGTCCTGCCCCCTGTGGAGATATTAACCCACTCCCAGGAGCAGTCAGGAGTTTCCCCCAGGGGCAAGCTAGCTCTGTCCCATAGGGAACAGGTCCCCTTGGCTGTGCCACAGCCAAAGCCCCACATTTGGAGCAGCCCCCAGCACACCCACCCCAGCCAGGAGCAGATGGCCCCGGGATCCAGAGAGGCAAAGCGGGGGAAGATTCCACCATCCCAGGATGTGCCGTGCAGAATCAGCCCAAAGGACTGAGTGTTCCAGGGAAAATAGCACCAGGAAAGCATGGCAAACAGCATATGGATGTGGCCCTTCCTGGGTGCATTGAGACCATCCCACACAAGATCCTCCACAAGCACAGAACCCAGAGAGGGCTGAGAGCATCCTGCAGCAGCAAGTTCTACTTTCTGCCTCCTCCTTTACCCAACAGTATTATTTTACCAGCTCATGAATTCAGTGAGAAGGGTTTGCCCTGGGTCCGGGGGACCAGCAATCACTCCTTTGATCAAACCTGTACCTTCAGCACCTGCTCACTGTTGATGGAGAGCTGAGCAACCTTTCTCTCCTCACCCCCTCCACCTGCACCAGCCCTGCTGATGACCAGATCCATGATAAATGGAGTTAGAGCTGCAGTGGAGTGTTTGCTGTCCTCCTGGGATGGAGGTGTTAATGCATGGGCTGAGCTGGGGGCGGGGGAGTGAAGTGCTGAAAAATGATGCAGGCAAAGCTCATTATCACATCCTTAATAGCCCTGAAATTGCTGTGAGGGCCTCTGTCAGTTCTGCTCCCCTTGGGTGGTAGGGAGCCATCCCCATCTGTCTCAGCAGCAGGGCCTGGTCCCCTCTCCAGAGCCGCTGGCCACCCAAGCAGACAGGGCACCTCCACACTTGGAGCCAACGTCTCCACACCAGGTATTCCTGAGAGGAGCTGCAGAGGAGAAGTCGTGCTGGCTCAGCTCAGCACCTCTGCTCCAGATCCATTGACTCCAGGAGGGGGCACTGGCCTCAAGCATCCAGATTTTACTCCTACACTCTGCTCCTGCCCTCCACGACGAGAGGCAGAACGTGCCTCAATCTCCCTGCCTGTATGAAGGAGCTGTAACATCTTCCATCCACCTCGGTGAATATCTTTTGCTTTTAGTTCTTCTTGGGCACTCACAGAGCTTTACTGATATACATTTTGGGGAATTTTCAGCCAGTTCAGAGGTGCTGATGGCACTTCCAAGGTCACCCACCACCTGGGCCATGGCTCTGCTCAGGTGTGTTTTCAAGTGAACTCATCATCACAGAATCCCAGAACAGTTTGGGTTGGGAGGGACCTTAAAGGTCATCTAATTCCACCCCCTTCCACTAGACCAGGTTGCTCAGAGCCCCATCCAACCTGGCCTTGGACACTTAACACATCCTGGCGTGTGCTGGTGCTCTCTCCAGTGGGAGATGGATGTGGACACCAACCACTTGGCTCCAACACACCCTGAGCAGCTCAGCCCCCACCAGTGACAGCAGGTGCTCGAGGTACTGGTTTGATCCAAGGAGCAATTGCTGGTCCCCCAGATCCAGGGCAAACCCTTCTCACTGAATTCATGAGCTGGTAAAATAATACTGTTGGGTGAAGGAGGGGGCACAGGGCAGGAGTAGGTCCCATGTCAGCACAGAGCTGGTGGCTGCACCTTTAAGTGCTGCATCTCAGTTCCACTTCTCCTGACACCTGCACCAAAGGGATTTGACGGCTCCCAAGAAATGCCAAGCCAAGAAGCTTTTAAGAACTCCTGAACTGCCTTTTTAAGAGGCAGGGCACATGTGCAGCTAATCCAGTCTTAAAACTAATGATTTAATTTACCTTAGGAGAAGCAAACCAGCATAAATTAATATCTCCCAGTAGTATAACATAACCATGTTTTATCTAGAGATTATGTTGATTAAATCATCAAGTGCCATAATCTTCCTTTCGTACCTCAATAAAAAAAAATCCCTAAAAATATAGATATAGCCTTCTAAGCCACAGGAGGGAAGTGCACATTCATCTCCAAGCACTCTCCTCGCTCAGCAGTGCGTGCACATGAGACTCCCCACCCTGGAAGGAGCTGCTCCAGCTGGTGCAGTAAGGAGGGGGAAAATGAAGCTACGTGTTCCGAATGGAAGCGATGCCAGGAGGTGAAGGAGCTTGGAGTCAGTACAGGAGCCACACTCGTGGGGTTTCACTCTGCAAATGTGACTGAAGAGATCAGATCTGACTTCTCAAGGCCGTGTATCTGCTTTCAGGGTGTAAGACACCAAGGCCATTAGTCACACAAGCTGGAAATTCAAGTGGGCTCAGTTCCACCACGCAGGGAGACGGTGCCTGAGCAGAGGGGGAAAGCACAGAGGCCCATTTCAAACATTTCCCTCCCACCCCTCTAATCTCATTTCTGCTTGTTCCCACTTGCTTTGCTCTCCACTGAACTGAAGGACTACACCACCCACCCTGGTGAATCAACAAGACCTACCTTGGCTCTTTCCAACCGAGTCTGCACCTGCCAGGGGTTGTTTTTCAGACAAAGCCTGTTCCTGCGGGACTCAGCTGCAAACCCTCTCCTGCAGCTCTCTGCCAGGTAATCATGCACGGGCACTTCAGGTTTAATGGCTTTGTCTGCTGGCTGTTTGGATTGCTGGAGAGCTCTTGGGCAGGGCACTTCAGAAGCACAACACCTTTCATTTAAAGCCAATTCAGAGCCTCAGTGGTGAGTCTGAAAGCTTCCCTGGAGAAGGACAAAGGATTTGTTAGGAGAAGGTGTCCAAGGCCAAAACAACATCCCTAACATCAACAGAAAGCTCCTGCCATGAGAGAGCAAAACCTAAACACTCTTTATACTGACCACTGACACCAGCAGCAGGTCTCCAGCAAACAACCTGGATTTATAAGGCCAAGTCTCAACATGAGGAACATTGACTCACCCTCCTAGCCCCTGGTGTTGGTGTTTATGAAATAAGTGGATTTTGCATAGAAAGGGCAATTAACAGATGTTGTTGTGTTTGGTTATTGGGAAGTTGGGGCAAGCAGCAAGAATCTGCCAGTGCTGCTGAGAGTGGGCTGCAGCCACCACAAGTCCCCTGCCTCAGTTTCCTCATAAACAAGGTAATTACTCCACTGTTGTAAAAGCTTGGGAGCCTTCAGGAGGAAAACAGCATTATTATCTGAAAAAATATTTTAACACCCAAATGAAGCTGTCAAGAGCAACTCCCTGCCCAGTGTCTCAGGCAGAAAACACATCTCCATTCAAACACCCTGTCCCTACAAGTAAAAAATATACATCTTGTAAAGGAACCAGTTTCAGGTTCTGTGAGGAGGTCTTTTCTCAGCAAGAGGTTTTTTTCAGAGAGGAGACCCAGTGTGCTGACTTACAGCCTTACAAATCTGGAAGCTTCAAGAAGTCTCCTGACTTTTTTTTATTATTACTCATTTCTATGGTCCTGCAAACCTGCCTGATGATTCACAGAGCAGAGGAGGGTTGTGTTTCTTTCCTTGAACTCCTTTCAAACTAAAACTCAGACCCAAGCCCTTCTCTCCCCTAGAATCAAACCTCCATGTCTTACTGTATAGAACTGAATTCCCTAAAATAATTCAGGTGGAGGACTGTAATTTCAGAACAACTCTTCACATTCTTCTGATGTCATTTTACAGTAAAAATAACCTATATCTGACCCTCTCCCTCTGCGAGTGTCTCTGTCTGCCCAGCTCTGAATAGCATTTCCCTCCTGGGCTTTGTAACCTCTACAGTCCAATTAACAGGGTCTCCAAAAGCCTGGGGACTTCATTACTTCTAAATGAAACATCTTCAAACACGCTAATGCCACTTGTCTTCTGCAGGACCCTCGTTCCAGGCAAGCCTGACATTTTGACAGACCTCCACAACTCATTTTCACCGAGGAAATGCACCATTACACAAGGTTAATTTTTTAGGATGGATAGAAAATCTCTTCCTCCAGGTAAATATTAGACAAACATCTACACACTGCGTGGAATTACATGTCAAGCCACTCGATAAAACCAACTTATCTGCCAGGAACAAGCCTGTCAAATCCTTGGCACAGATGCCTTTCTCTCCCCACTTTAAGTCTAGAGAAAGGGAGGGGAGTTCCACTCGTTTATCACCCCCACCCTGCCAGCACCACGTCTGCCTGTGCTTCAGCCTCCCTGCTGAGACAGCTGCCTTTGGAGAGGAGGATTTTGAGAGGATACCAAGAGGAAAGCCTTCCAAAGAAAATAAAAAAAGTCACAGGGGTTTCTTGGCTTCCACCCTCACTCCCAGGGCTTTAGGCACGCTGGGAGAGCACTGCTGTCTGCAAACACCACCTCTGCCACGTCTCCTCCTCACATAACAGCCTGCAGGCAGCACAGAGGGTGCTCAGCTCGCCTGTGACAGCAGCCAGCAGAGCCACATCACTCTGCTGCTGCTCACTACCAGCAGCTCATCCCTTCCCAAGGAGAAAACTCGGCTGAGGGACTTGCTCCTCACTCCAATGCTCACAGCAGACCAGACCTACAAGCGTTTGCTTTCAGGTTTTTAATACATTCTCCCTCTCCCCAAGCTGGGGGCAGAAATCTTTCACAGCAGATCAGAGCCCACAGATGTCAGACAGCTTCTCTTCCTTCTTTTGTGATGCCCTGGGAAAGCCAAAGCTGGCAGGCAGAAAGCCCAGGATACCTGGCAGGATGGACTTGATTGTCTCCAGCTAATGAGTTCCACCTTGGAGGGAGAGATCTTCATTTCCAGGGGCCTCAGGTCCTCTCTGAGCTTCATCTAGAATCTGCAGGGACACTGCCATTCCACACTCAACATCCTGCACGAGCAAATGACTCATTATCCCCAGGGAGCTGCCATCTGTCAGCCCATCACGGACAGATCTGATTAACAGAACATCCCCGTGATCTCCACCTACTGCAAAGGAGAACGTGCTCTCTCCCAGTGGTTCATGCTAACACATTCTAACTTGGGATTTGCAACGAGCCTCTCATACCCAACTACCAAACGCAGCTGACGAGCAGTAACTCGTTATCCAGAAATCATCAGGTCACTGCTCTGGGCTGAGCCAGATGGAGCCTGGATGGAGGAGGGACAAGAGGGTAACACTGAAGAAGAGGTGATGCACCCAGAGGTGAAGTTCTGATGTAGCTGAAACTCTAGAGTAAAACCTTAAGGAAGGTTAAGTTGCCCTCCAGCCCAAAGTACCAACTAAGTTGAGGAAGGCATTTCTAGCTGGATTGCAGACCCAGCTCTGAGTCTGTGGCAGATATTTGCTCTCCCAAGCCCCAACTAAGTCATCAAGTTTGTTCTCATTTACTTCTCTCCGTAGAAACCTTTGAGATTTGCATTTCAAAACTACTATAGGGGTAAAATCACTGCTGAGACAGGTAGCAGCAGGCACTGGATGCCCTTCACAGCACTGACCATGTGAGAAGGCAGGAATGCTCCTGCACTGGCAGCGGCTTCTCCTGCTCGTTCTGCTCAGCAGCAGCTGAGATTGCCACAGCAACAGGAGACAGAGGAGGAAAGTATTTCTCCAGAGCGTATTTGGTTGCTTTCAAGTGGATCGACACAGGAGAGTTCGTTTGTAAACGTCAAGAGCATGTCGGTGTGAAATTGGAAACGCGAGTGGGCGGCAGCACGGCCAGCACAGCTCAGGGGGGAGGAGATTGAACATTGGGCTCACCTGAGCAGGGTGTGGACCCAGAGACCTGCAGGAGCTCACGGGGCCTCAGCACTCATCGACTGAGCAAAGGAAAACCCTTGTCACTAAGGCTTTGTGGCTACTCCCCCCACGCTGGGCTCCAGGAGTTCTGTCTCCAAAACGCCCACCTTTGTGTGGGGGCACCACGAGCCTGAGCTGCATCCTGCTGTTTTCCCCTCAGGAAGAGGAAGACCCCAGTGCTGATGTTCCTCTGTCAGCTGAGCCATGTAACCAGACAGCAAACAGGGACAGTAAGGTCGAGCAGGAGACTGTGCTCCTCCCCAAAACAATTGAAGAGGCTCATTAAACCGGTTAATAGCAGGAGCAGCACTGACACATGCCACAGCATTTTCACTTTCCTTTGTAACAACATCCCAAAGGGCTCGAGCATTTGGCTCCAGCACTAAGTGGCACCTCAAGAGTCCAGTTGAGATGTGCCAGGAGCAAGAGAGGGCAGCTCATCCTGAAAAACACAGGAGGTAATGAACCCCTTCTTGGATGAAGAGCGAGGCTCTCTCCCTGTGCTCTGGTGGTGATGATGGCTGGGTTAAACACCCAGTGAACAAGCAGGCAGGACAATTCAACCTCACTATCCTTCACTGCTCCCCCTCACAGCAGCCATTTGAGACATCTCCTCCCTAAAGGAAAATTTGGGAGAAGCAGGATGAGAGCCAAACAAACACTTACAGTAGTCACATTTTTGTGATTCTGCTGACAGACCATTTGGAGCGCACTCAGCTCACTGAGAGAATACTGCAACAAGACAAGTGACAGACAGGGTCACAGGTCCAGGAGACCTCCTTGGTCAGAGCCATCACATCCAGCAATCCCCAGTGATAAACCAAGAACCCAGCCCCTGCCTGGCCATGCACCACATTCCTCTTCACCTGAGGCACCACATTGGTTCAACCAAGCGTTTGGCAATAAAAAGATGCAGAGGCAGTGAAAGGGCTCACTGCAATAAATTAATTAAATAAAGAAAAGTAGCAATGCCTTGGAATGTAAGTAAATATGCAACACCACCACTGAAACAGGGTGTGTAACAAGGCACGGTTGGTTGGTTGGCTGAGACACGCCGACCATCTCTCCTGGGCTCGTGCCTCTGCTTGGCTGACTGGCTGCATCCATTAATTACACCCCCATTAGGCAGGCAGGAAACCCTCCCAACCAGAGGCACCTTCCTGCTCTGTCACTCAGCCCAGGAACATGACAGATACAACAGAGCTGAGGCATAATCAAGACAGAGCACCTGCCAGGCTGGATGGATAGGGAGAAACCCCTCTGCACAGAGGCTTTGCAGATTATTAATACCTTTGGTTACATGACATGATGAAGAGGCACTGCAGGCCTCGTGAAGGCCACAGCCAGAGTTTTTGAGGTTGCTCACATCCATTACAGGTGTATAATATGTTCCCCAAGGTCTCCAGCAACTGGGGTGGCAGAGCAGCCACACATGGCAGCCACAGCCACAGCCCAGCACAGGAGCTGATGCATTTTTCATGCCCCCTGTGGCTTTCACATTACTTCAGAGCAAACAAAACCTTTCTTTCAGAAATCCATCCTCAGCACTGAGGGGTACCCAGCCCTGCTAACTGCTCCAGAGTCTGCACTGTGGGGAGGCCCTGGCACGGGTTGCCCAGAGAAGCTGTGGCTACCCCATCCCTGGAAGTGTCCAAGGCCAGGCTGGATGGAGCTCTGAGCAACCTGGGATAGTGGAAGGTGTCCCTGCCCACTGCAGGGGGTGGAATGAGATGACCTTTAAGGCCCCTCCCAACCCAAACCATTCTGTGATTCCGTGATTCCCTCCAGGATCCGCTTCCCACACCCCCCACCTCCCTTGTCCAGACACACTATGCAGCAGTCCAGGCATGAAAGCACCAACACTGCAGCTTTGCACCACAAAATATCTGCTAAATACTCACTTTCACAGCCCCTGGAAAGGCCAAGCAAGCACCTGTGTCTACTCGGATGAAATTCTCAGGGAGCAAAGCCCTGCTGTGACAGAGCCCCTCACTGGATTGCCACCAATTGTCCCTTCCTTGGAACAAACAAGGGTTTATCCATCTTGGTTTTATCCAAGGGGACAGACACTTTATTTCTGTATTTCACCCAGACTTCCAAAGCTCTTCTCAAAACAGTTATTTCAATGGAAGTGGAAACAAATCAATAGTTTTGAATTGTCTTCGGGGAGAAGGAGACCAACAGGCTGAGGCAGGGCTGGGAACTCTCCTGCCAGCTTTGCCACATTATTTCCCTTCCCTGAACTGCAAAACTTCACACTGGGTATAAAATGAGCCCTAATCAATACTCTAATGCTGAGATACCATTACAGACTGTGCATCCCTGGGTCCCAGGTCACATGTCAAACCCTCCTGCCATGTCTTACAGTTTCCTAGACAGTCTTAAAACCACAGGTTTAGCAATTCTCAATTTCAATGGATGAGGTTTTTACTACCCCAGAAATCCTGTTCCATCAGAATATTTGCCTCCTGAATTTATACTGATTTTGTACAACTGCATTACATGATTTAGTACCTTTAGTATTCAGTCTGCCCTATTACACGATGCCTTGTGATGTACAAGGTTTGGAATGTTGCTTCCTAGTCACAACAGAAAAAATATTCCTGTGACTATAATACCCTGTTAGTAAATTGTAGTTCAGGGGCAACAGGCTATTTCTTTCCCAAAATGAATAATTATTCAGTGTTAACAGGAACTTGACATGATCAGCAGCTGCCTTCAACTGTCTGCATAACAGAAATCAATTAATTGTTTATCAGACACCCGTTAGCTCCCTGAACAAAAAAGGAAAATAAACCCCAAAACAAACAAAAACTTGACCTACCTCTTCATTTAATGACAGAAGCTGACGTGGAGCTCCATCCATGTGTCCTGAGCCAACCACTCTTCAAACCCATGTCTGTCAGTGCAACCAGTCTGTTCACTTTATCACCCTTCAGTCACCAATTCCAACCATCAAGCAGAAGAACTTGACTTAGGACACCACTTTTAACCATGACTCACATTTGATATTTATTTTTGTTAAAGCTTGTTAGTTTTGATGAACTGGGTTGGCCATTAAACCAGCAGAGACGTGCAGCCAACCACCCCTGTCAAAAGAATCCTAACTCAATAAAAATAAGGAACTTCAATAAAGCGAAATGAAAAATGTATGTTTCATCACAATTCTGATTATTTTCCCCTCTCAAGATTTGGGGCAGAACACGGGGATGCAAATTAGAACTAAATGAAAAATGACAAAGCTACCTTAGGCACACAGAGTGACTGATAGCTTTCAAATTTAGGATTGATTAAATAAAGCAGTGGCTGTTTCCTGTGGGTTAGAGCTCTCTGTTCCAAAGCCCTACAAATGCCTGGCTTTGCTCAGAGCATTGCTATTTTAGAACCAAAGGCTTAAGTAACTCTTCCTGCTGCTTGTTCAGCATCTCAATTATGTGAGGGGAGTTTAGGCACCCACCCTGCTTATATACACACCAGATATTTTGCCTTTGTGTCTTTTTGTCACCTAAATGTTGTTTGAATTTTGGTCCCAGGGTACAAGGTTTCTTTGAGTGACTTTCCCCCTCTGCCTGTTTATTAATATCACGTTAGGGGGGTAAAAAACCCCAAATATTTGTGGGGTTTTCAGTGCTCATAAACCCAAAGAGTTCTGCAAGCATATTTAAAAACTAAACTAAATCAACATTTTCCATTCTTGCATAAAAAGGAGGAATCTAAATAACCAGCAGTGATGGCACTGTAAAGAGATAGATACTTAAAGTATTACAAAATATTTTGGCATCCCAAAAGTCTGACATGATGTTAAATGTTAAAGGTGCTTCCCACATTCAGCATAACATTAAAATAATGGTCCTCTAACTTTACAAAATGTGAACTGTCAGTGACAACAAGTTTTCAATAAATCATAAAAAAACCAGAAACATTAATTAGTTTTCTAAATAATTCAGTATATATTAAATGTTTAGTTTTAGAATTGGAGAAACTAAAACTAATAACAGCAAACCTCAGACACCCATTCAGATTTTCTTAGGTCATTCAGCATTTGCTGAATTGGAACAAGAACCCAAAAGCTGCTTTTTGGTTTTGTTCTGAAGGAGGAAGAACTTCAGTTACTCACAAGTGTCACAGCAATTTCTTGCTCTTTCAGGGTTTATTTTTTTAAGTTCCCTAGAAATTAAAAAAAAATTGCAAAGAATTAAGGTTTCTGTCACTCAATCACTTTGTCTCTTTACAAAATTCAAGAAAAAGCACGTGAGCTAAAAAAGACAATTTTATTTATTAGCTTTTGTCCTTGGAAAAAGCCTCTGTGCGTGAGTATGATGTCAAAAGGCCCCTGGAATTTGGCTCACTGATCTGGCTTCTGTCCATTTGAACATCTAATGGCTGGGGGGGGGATGTCTTTTTTATTTTACACGTATCAACATCACAGTTCATTTCTCAAGGCAATGGAAAAAAAAATGCTTAATATGAGTCAACAGCCAATTCCAATTTAACCCTCAATAAAAGTCTATTTTTGGCAGAAGGTTTGCCTTTCTTTAAAATTACTATAACCACGAGTAAAAAACCACTTCATAATGAGGATTAAATTGTTTCATACCTGCAGCAAAGCTGTTTCTGTTCACTGAGGGTTTGAATCCTTCAAGACTGATGATAGGCAGGCAAAGAACAGACAGAAAAGCCAATTTTCTCTTGGAATTTAAGCAAGACCTTGTCCATCTCCTTGAGTAACTTGTCTCTATTTTTCCAACCAGTGGCAGGAAATCTTCAGTTCTGCAGCTGCTGTCTATACTCTTGATCTCCACATGCCTCATCCTCACCACAGCACATCTTGAGCATCCTTTTAGGATTAAAAAAAAATGCACTGCTTCCCTGAGTGCACAACAAGGCACTGCATTTCATCATTTCCAGCCTAGCAAATGGCTCAGGCCATTACAGAACAGCCTGCCTGGAAAAACAAGGTACAATATCCAGGTACTTTGTGAGACAGATCTACTCTTTATGGTGATGACAAAGGCAGGACAGACTTTCATTTCATAAAGAAACTAAGGATGAAGTAGCCTATAAACAAAATACCTTCAGAGCAGCAGTTAAATCTGAACAAAGAGGGCTGCAAGCCCATACCCAGGACTGCCAAACCCAGAAATTATGGCTCAGAGGTTGATCCAGGGGCAAGGAATTCTGGCAGAAGGAGATTCAAGATTGGTATGGAAGAGGAGAGCACAAGTTTGAGATGAAGTTTTGCCAACTTCCACGTGGAAGCAGTGCCCTGATTCACCATGAGTTTATGCAGCCCCTGTCCCCAGTCCATCCAACACACACTGACATTCCTTCCATCCCTCACAGACTCCTCGCTGTCCTCGTTCTTCCTTGTCTTCTCCCACTCCTTGATCAACACCACAAGGTGACCCTTAGGAGAACAGCGACATCTCAGCAGTTGGGTGTCCACAGGGTTTTCAGGAGAAGGAAGTGGTTCAACAGTCCCACAGGTATTCACTTCCAGAAGACTCCAAATTCTGACCAGGGACTGCACTGGAAACCTGTGTCCCACCCCTCCATCTCCCCTTTCAACACCTCCCATGGGAAGACAGGCTTTGGCTTGGGAGAGCAGCTGTTCTTTGCCCACTGATGGTGAGCACATGTTGTAGATTCAGATTAAGATGTGGTGTTGAAGCTGTTTAATTACATTTACACAACATGCATCTGTACCTGGCTCTGAGGGAGCTGCTGCACATCCACACTCCTACCAATACCCAAAGTTACCCCAAAACAGCAGCAGAGATCAGCTGCTGTCAGCAGGTTTTATCTCCCCAACACTGAACCAAAGTTCCCAGCTGTTTCCACAAATATAGATATTGATAAAATGATATAGACAGGAAATAAATCCTGCTACTCACTTAAGCACTTTTTATTATTAGAACGATGATGTTCATTTTAAGACTCGGTGACAAATCCTGTTTGGTACATCACCACCTTATTAAAAACCTGTGACACGTGAAGAGAATGTTAAATTATATTAAGTAAGCTGTTAACTTGACAAAATCCAGGCTGCTGCTTTCCGCCTGACTAAGCTGCAGCAAAGATGGCACGTTGTCAAGGGGTGGGAAACATCCTCTCCTTCCCTGCCAACGCTCCAGATACAGTTGAAACTCCAAACAGCAAAAATCAGTAAGGTGTCTGTCACATCAAGAACTCAGCCATCACACTCCACTCCAGACCCACGTACATGCATCAGTTTTTGGGGTGTGACTGCCACCCAACTGCAGGAAAGAAATGGACACAGTCATTCCAACTCCCTTGCCTTGCCTATATTCCATTTATCCAGCTCAACTGATGCTGAACAAGAAGGTAGCTCCAGAGCAAAAACAAAAAAAAATGCCTCAAAGTGACAGATATTCATGAAGACAGAATTCACAACTTTTTGACTAGTAATCAAAAGCAGCACAAAGTTGTTCTGCACATAAGGCAGAGATCTGACACCAGTGCCAGGGCACTGGGTGGCTCCTGCCAATGCAGTCCCACATGGCATTGGTGGTTCCAGCCATCAGCAAAAGATTGGAAATAATAAAGAAATGCCAGAGTCAGATCTTTAAACATCTTGGCATTAACATCATTATTTGAGCATTTTCACTTGTGCCACAGGAGGGCAAGTGTAGAAACCCCAGTGTTTACCTCCAGTAATTAAAACTCCCTTCAAGGGGACCCCTTTGCAAAGCATTTTAGGGAATGAAGGTTCCAGCTATGGTCTAAGAGCATGGCAATGCCACTTTCTACTCTGTACCAGGCTCCTTTGGAAGATAAAACAGATCCAGTACCTCCTGTCAGCAGGATTCCACCACAACCTGTCATTCTAAGCATCAATGAGAAAAAATGAAGTTTATCTTTTGTCACTTCATCTGTGAATGATGATACTCACACACAGAGTTCATACAGCCAAGCTATCTGCAAACTCCAGGTAATTATTCCTTTAATTTATAGTCATCCACCTATTCCAGGTAATCTATTTCAGCAAATAGACATACTCTGCTTGTTCATTGAAGGGTTTTTTAATGTGAAGAGAAACGGAAGCTTCTGACTAACCACGCGTGACTGCTTAACTACATTAAAATCACTGTATTTTCAGCAGTTTCTAAGCTGTTCACACCGTCCAAAAAAAGCCTCAGCACTCAAGTCTTTGAAGAGTTCACCCAATAAACTTGATGCTGTGCACCAGGTGTTCTGGAGGCTTCTCTTCAGCTGCAGCTGAAACCTGGCAGGATTCATCTCCTTCTGCCCAGCACCCTGAGCCTTGCAGGAAAACAAGGCCAAAAAGAACAAACAACCTCAGGTCTTGACAAGCAAAGCTTCTTCCACTGGTCTGACTTCAAACAGAGACGTGACACTGTTTTGACATACGAGTCCCATCTGTGCACCACAGAACGACGATGACAAAAGTATGATGCAAAGTCTTGTTAAACAGTCACCCCAAATACAAAGAGAGCATAGAGAAGCTTGATGCAAAAATCCAGAAATAGTCCAGGGCAGTGCTTGGGCATCGCTAAAGATTTAAGGGCTACTGGGGATCATGTGGCCAGCCACAAACGGTCTCATCAGAGGTCATGACATTGTTCTGTGCTGCTGGGAAGAGTGAGCAGCCTGACACCCCTCAGCAGAGGTTTGGTGATCAGTTAAAAAAAACCCAAAAAGAAGGCCCAGGGAGGAGCTCCCGCTCACGCAGCCGATCGCCGGCGGATCACGAACACACCTCGCTGCAGCTGCCCCAGGTAGATCCTCATCTTTGTGCTGTCGCTGGTTTTCCTCACCCAGATCTGCAGGAAAGAAAGAATATAAAAAATGGGGCGGGGAGATAAATTGGGGGTAAAAAGGGGAGAACTCACAGTAAGCAACACACAGACCAATAAACTTATTGTCAGAGCTGAACACCTCTGTTACTCCCCTGTTACTCGGGTTAATCCTTTCTCCCTCCCCACATGAAGCATTTGCAACCTGAGTAGAACATGAAATAAGGTTTCTAAGTTTACCTCCTTAACTTCCTGCTCGGAACAGTCCTCAAGAAAAATTACTCTTTCCACGCACCATCAGGAAAGCAGGTTCCTTTCTGCTCCAGTTCACAACAGAACTGTGGCATTAAGCTTTGCCTAATCAAGAATAAGTCTCCCTAGATCCACAGATCATAAAATTACCTACCCTGGGATTTGCCCAGGCAAGTAACTATTAGTCAAATGAAAAGCTTATCCTGACTCTGTTCTGTGAAGCATTTCCCACAATGTATTACAGAAATGGGATCTGAAGACAAAAGGGCCTCTCTTTTAAACACCTGCACGGAAGAATTCACACGACATGTTCCAAAGGACAAATTGCTGCCACTCCAGAGAATTTTTTAAATCTCTTTCAAGATGTTTAGATCCAAAAACTTGTACTTTAAAAACCGAGTCTGAGCAATCTCCTCTGCTTTATGTCATTCTAATGCATTTAAACATATTTAAATACGTGCATGAAGTAAGAATTATCTAGCTCTTAGTACTGGAGTATTTTAGGACAGAAATCCAGTATTTCCTACTGCAAAGGATTATAAAGTTATGTTGGCCTTTGATTTATCCTAAACTGTTTTTTTAGCTATATTAGCTATTAACTCTATTATTTTAATTATAAACTGACTTTATTAACAGGATCCCTCAGTATACAATAAATTTAATATATGCCTGTGTTTGTACTTCAGTTATTTCCCCAGAAAAATTAAAATCAACATTCATTGAGAATCAACTCTCAACCACAACATTACCAAGAATTTGGTATGTTTTGCTTGCCAAAAGAATTAAAAATTTCTGAGCAACTGTACAAAACAACAAACATGTACAATTTTACATTTTATCAGGATATGATGGAATGGTACATTAGTTTTGCTAAAATTAACTGCTTTGTTAAGTTCCACTTGGAGCAATATTAAAGTTCAGGTTTAAGTGACCACAACAGTGCAATTACTTAACATTAAAATCTGCCACAGTGTTCAGAAAAATAAACACATCAAGACATATTCTGAAGTCAAAACCGATGTTTCAGACACACAATATGTTGTGCCATCAGAGGAGAGCATCTATTAATCCTAAAACTGAAAGAGGTGGGAAATAGGAACAACTAAAACAACTTCTGATTTTTTTTTATTCCTAGACTTCAAAAGAAAAATAAGCTTCCTCCTTTTTTCAACTTCAACAAGCTGAGATTTCTGAATAAACTAATAAAAAATAACATTTTCCTGCAGGTGCTGAAGAGGTTTTTTTGTCAAAAAGCACTAGACCAAGTTGCTCCATGCCCCATCCAACTTAGGGGGACACTTCCAGGGATGGGGCAGCCACAGCTTCCCTGGGCAACCTGTGCCAGGGCCTCCCCACCCTCACAGGGAGGAATCAATTGATTGCATTTCCCTCACGGTTTCAGGTAAGATGCTCCCAAAGAATTCAGTTTTAATGTTATAAAGTAACAGTAATAACTTTAATCAAGTCAGCAGCACTACATTTAGCAGCCATTAGCACACTACCACTACTTTATCTGAACTATCAACTGCTGAGCACCACAACTGTTACTGCCAGGGGAACAGTTGTGATACAAACATATCCCATATGCAACTCATTCTGAAGAAAATAAAGTATTTTCCCTCAGCTGCCACAACAAATTAAAGTTCCTTTACTGGCTGATTGAAGAGAAGTGCACTCAAGTCTATTATTTCTTTCCCTGAAGTGTCTGGAATCTGCAAGCAAAGAATAAACTGCTCCCTTTGCCCAACTGCTGCTCCTGCAGCCAGACTCACATCAATCTTGGGCACGGAGCTCTTCACCTGCTGCTCTAAGGCTTCAGCAGCAGCCACAAGGAAATTGCCTCAGACAAATGACTGGCCTGCCCCATCTCCCAGGGAGGTGATGGATGCTGCCAGAGAGCTTCTCAATTAGCAGGGAGAATCTTCTTCCCTCACAACAACTAAATTTGGTGACAACGTTTTTTTCTCATCCTCCTCTGCGTTCCCAATGGAATTTCTTTTAATCCTGCATTAACAACAACTGTATGCATGTTCTTGAAATAACAGAAATGGAATTTATGAATGTAGTGCCAATGAGATGCAACGTGTCAGTTCTACCCATTTTTCAGGGTACCACTTGTAAAATGTAGGATTATTCTTTAAAAACAGAGCAAGTGTCTTCCCATCTCAGAAAAAAGAGATTTCTCAACTCGGTTTTATCTTGGATTCAGCTTCTTTACACACTAAGTATGTATCTTTGCTGAAAGGTTCACTCTTAGTCCTCACTAGACCCATGTCCTCCCCCCTCTGCTGAAAAACAAAAGCAGCCCACCACCTCGTTGGCGCCCACAGAGCTGATCACACAGCTGATCTTCGTGTTGTCTTTAGACTCCAGGTAAATAGCCTGGCTCTTGTGGTACCTGCAGAAAGAAAAAAAAGGGAAAGGAAACACATGAAACCACTGGTGATAAAGCTGGGATTCCACGTGCATCTGGATAGAGTCAATCTGAGCTCTGTCTGTCTTTCCACACCACTTTCTCCATCTTCACAACACAGCGAGTGCTCTGGTTCTACACACCCACACCTTCCATTTCGTGATAGTTTGAAATGCATGACTCACATTCAACTCTACATGCAGGCCACTGAAAACAGGTTTCACATCTGCAAGAGGAAGGGGCAGAGCACCAGCCACAACACAAGAGAACACTGACTGACTGACAAGAGCTAATCCAAGCGGCCTTTCACATTTCAGACACGGGATGGATTTCAGGAGGCAACTCCGTATTGTGCCTCGTAAAATATGACAGAGGAAGTCACAGATACTCAAAAGTTATTAACATTTCCCAATACAAAATTACCAGTGCACCAGCACCAACCAAAGTGAATTATTCCTCAATCAGTGCAGTTTGTGTGTTGTTTAACAAGACCTCAAATCTCTAATACTGTTTTATTTTGTGAAAATACCCAAACTGGTAAGTGATGGGTTTCTGGCCCCATAACAAACTGTATATACCTGCCATTAGGAGCCTGTGACTAAACATACCCATTTCCCCCCTCCCTTTTTTTTTTAAGCTATATATTGTTCTTAATGTGTTGTGTACAAAACAAAGACTTTGAAAGTCATAACTCTGAATTACTTGTTTCCAGGGACCTGCCCCCTTCACAGCCCACATTTCTCTAAGTGCTGCAGCCAAACCCCCCCAGTTTCTGTTTATTCTGCCTAGGAGAGTTCTGTAGGCAGAACTAATCACACTGAAACAGGTGATTTGTAAGTAATCTTGAGCAAGCAAGCACCAAAATCCTTTACAATCATAAAAGCATAACTATATTTCCACCTTTACCCTCATCATGATGTGCTTCCTATTTATCAGGGCAATCCAAGCTGCAGAATCACAACACAGCTACTCCCTCAGTAGCTACCCAGTACAACTCCTGCAGTCTGAACACCATTTGCAAAATGCATGGATTTATTTAATCTTTACAGCTATTTCTAAAATAACCACACTGTAAATATGGAAGTCTTCCCATGGTTTATTTCACAATGTCTTCCTACTGGCTCATGTACTCAGAATTTTCATACTGCTTGCCAGTAACTAGAATGAGTGTCAGCTTTGAGCCTTCTAAACATAATCACTACCCACAGGCTGGGTGAGGTAATAAAAAAAACCCAAATCCTGCAACCTTTTGACACCTGTGCCCGACCATTGCTCTTTCTCCTTCATTTTAACAGAAAGGATGTCAGTGGGTTTCAGGACAATGCAACAGCAACAATGATCTTGAGCCAAAAAAATCGCAGTTTAGTGAGTCCAGATGTCATTAAATGATACAAAGGAACTGAATAAGCTACTACAAACCCCAGGCCTCACTAAGATAAGACAAAAATCTCAGTCCAGCAGTGTCCTACCATGCTGTGAGTGCTTAAGCAAGGAGAATTGATGATCTTGATACAATCAGTATCAGTGCAGAAGATACCAGTGGCAAAGGACACCTCTCAAGTGTTATCTGTGCCTGCACAGGTAATGAAATATTTTTCCCCACTCAAAGCTGTTTCTTTCAATTTTTGATTACCACACGTGGCACAGGCTTCAGCCCTCGGATTTCACATCACAAGTTACCATCCATCAGTAAATGCATGTTAATTGTGCAGAAGGAAGGCAAGGGAACAAGCTGGCTCAGCACTGTTTCACTGAGGAGTCGTCTCAGCTGTCTCACACTCTGTGCACACACAGACAGGTCAGCTGAAGGCACAGCCTGGTATCTGTTCATGCCTCACCCTTGTGCCAAGTTTATACACCCACAGAGGGGCAGAACTCAGGAAAACACTCCAGATGAAAAATTCAATGGAGTTTAAGTTGGCTTTCGAGAGAGGGGAAAGTGCCAAACAACTCTTGCGTTGCGGTGATAAAACACACCCCAGTGCTCACAGGTGAGACAAGCAGAAACAATTCCACTTCCTGCTATAAAATATTTTGCTGAAGGGCCAAGATTTTCAGCTGGAACTCCATCAGGAGATTGAAAGAAATCCCTCTACATTATTGAAGGCAGAAAAGCTAAAAGCAAAAAAAGATGGTTGTTTTACAGTGAACTGTATTTTAGGATTCGATGGGGGAGCACAGAGCGAACTGACTGAGGATAAAAAACTGAATCTAATTCCACATTCATCTGAAACTCTCCACTTTGGAGACTTATTTGTGAAATATCTCTGCAAAACCTTAGGGGGTCCTTAAACATTCAGTGCTTTCAGATAGCAGTCATGCACAGCTGCATCAGAAAACAGAGAAAGTCACTCCTGAGCTGTCAGGTTTAGTATTTCTGTGCATGCCAGCACTCTTAATGCACCTTAGAAAGAATTACCCTCCCACTATCGAGAGTTATTTCATTATTTTAAAACAGCAGCTACTTTAGAGAAGTTCTATTACTATCAATCAAAAAAAAAAAATCTAAGCAGGATTACAACAGCCAAAAAATGTAAAATACTTAACTTAAAACAGCATTAAGAACAAGGTAGATAGGAAAGACAACATCTGGAATTCCTGACAGTGAGACCCTCATGACAACTGAATTCAGCTAGATGAAAATACTTGTTAGTGCTTTATGTCCCAACTAGATACCCTTCTGAGAAAGTTGGTGCTTCTGTAAGATTCATCTGGGCTTGCTGAATCTCTTCCAGGTTTAAATTTAGTGGGAAGTTGGGAGCTTTACTGGCAGATTACTTCAGATTCCATTTTTTTTTCTTTTTTTACTAGTGAACACTTTTCAGTACCCTACACACTAAAAATTCTGAAGAACAGTTTATTCATCCAAATATACCCCAGAGATAATTTTTTTTTGTGTGTAAAGTGACTATGAAAGCAAAAAAAAAAAAAAAGAACCTGATGAATTTGTGAAGCCTGTTCAGTTCACATCTGCTTTATGCTTCATGGACATATGGACATTTAAACCCAGGCAGCAGCTTTTATCAGAGCTATGTACACTGAACCCCTGATGAAACATCAGAGTCAGAAGGGAAAAGTGACCAACTGTACAAGATCACTCTTGTGTGGAAAACAAGCTTCACCCCTGTCATTTTCTGTGATAAAACTACAACCCCATCACTTGTTATTTTGAGCCACTAGAACACTGAAGAAGGTTACAAACAACCAAATTGCTTCCTGCTCAAGGAGGACAAGATTGCCCCCTTGATTATCCAGGTTTGCATCTCTCATGGATTAAGTTTAAGACCTACTAAGATTTCTCTGCAGAGTTTAATATTTTCCTTGTGTTTTGTAAGGCTTGTACAGCTGTACAGCCATAAAACTCAACAGAGCTAAATCCAATCAGCAATTCTGAAGTTGCCTCTCCCAGGTGGGTCTGATCTTTAAAGGTTATTTGGATTTATTAGAAACATTTTTCATCCTGCTCTGCTGGTGGACGACGTTTCTTCTGCCACCTTGTGGAATGCTGGGCTTCTGTTCCACAAAGCTGAACCCCTGGAATGTGAATGCTGCTGACACCACTGTGCCCAAAAATCATGGAGTGTCTGTATCCAAGCTGAGCAGCTTCACAGCTCCATCCCACTGTGTCTGCTGCTGGCTCTCTTACCTAATATCAGGTTTGACAAAAGTACTTCCTAAGTGTCACAGTGGACATCACTGACTCCATGGGAAAGATTCAGTTCTCCTTTTATTGGAGCCACTAGTTATCCCTCAAACCTACGGGGTCTAAACACTCCACCATCACTTCTGATTTACTGGTTGCAATAATGAGCCCTTGGGGGAAGCAGCAAACTCTGCCCAAAAAAACATTTTGTCCACAAGTTGCTTTGATCAAAGCAATTTCTCTCTGCAGCCTTTTCCTCTTCACTACACAACACTCAGGCTGATTAAAACAGAAATCCCCCAGGCCTCACCATCTCTTATCATAGTAGAGTTTTCCATCTTCTATCCGGGCTTCGAACCGCTGTGCAGGAGACTCTGCTGGTGTAGCTGGGAGGTGCTCAGGAGAGGAGGGGGAGGCTGAGAACAGGAGAGACACTCTGCTTAAAAACCAGCATGTGTCCATCACACAGTAGCACATCTGACTGCAAAACTGCAGTTAATAAGGTCATATATGCAGAAATAACAAGCCCAGAAAGCTAAAAACTCAAATTTCCCTCAGAAAAGTATTACATATTGGTATGAATAACTCAACTTCTGCCTTGAATTATAATGTTCACTGAAGATTTAACTGAAAAAAAACATTCATAGGTAGGTGATGGACAGTATGTCCTTGGTGTTTTAATTCTAACCCAAACTAAAATAGTTAAAACAGGGTCAGAATTACTTAAGCAAGTTGCTACCACTCTGTCTTGAAATTAAGTGCACAGACACATCTAGGGAGCTGGAGGCATAAAACCATAAGTGCTCAATCCCTCCACTGACCTGACAAGCAGGCAAGGTGTCCAGATGCACCTGAATATAATGAAAAACCCTCTTTACACAATTGGATTGTCCCATGTTTCAGCCACCCAAGATACACATCTCCCTTCTCATCCCTGAAAAACGTCAGGGCAGACAAAGAGACCTCACACAGGGCCAATTCAGCACAGCAGCCACACAAAGAACAGCAATTACACAGTCAAAACAATTATAGAGCCAAATTCCACAATCAGCAATTATACAGTCAAGCATCTACAATATCATTCTCTGCTCAGAACAGCACCACTGTGAGCAAGTTCCAATGCAACTGTTAACTCACCTGGTCTCTTGGGTGATTTAAGCTACATGGGAAGAAAGCAAAGCAGTGTTAAGAGATCTGACAGGAGCCTTACAAGCTGCAGTAATAATTTCAGATATCTTACTTTCCATACTCTGAATGCTTCTGTTTTAAATGCACTGTTAAGTGGTATTTCATACAACCAGAGCAGTGTGCTATAAACAGCCAAAGGTGCAGATAATCAGGACCATGATACAAAACTGAACTTTAGAGCATTCAGACAATCCACTCAAATGAGCCAAACCCATCTAACAGACTGTATTTTTGAACATGATCCAACATTTCTCAGGGTACACAAAATACAGGATAAGTCACCAGAAACACCTCAACAGCTGGCACAAAACCCATGTTCCACCACCATCCTCAAATGTCTTAATGAGCAGCCCCTATTGTAAGAAACTAGACAAACCTTCAAGTGCTTAGTGAAAGCAATAGGTTAAGCAAAACTTGAAAAACTATAAACATGCACACTGCCCCCTATTCAATTTGCTGAAATATTGTGACAGCTGGGAGAAAAACAAGTTAATAAAAACCCCACCTCAAACCAAAGGCAGCCTGTGATCTCTCAGAAAAACACACTGACACCTGTTCAACCATGCAGAGGAAGAAACTCCTTAACAGGAGCTCATCCCTTGGTTCAGACAAAAGGTAACATTTTTAGATGACAGTCATTTTAATTAGGTTAATTAAACCTATTAAAATAAAAGGGAGGAGATACCACCTTGCTAAATCTTTTATTGAGCTACTTCAGAAAGCCTACAGGGATGAAACAGTCCCACACCTCAAAAGGGAACATAAAAGAGAGCTCTGTTCTCTTTAGGGGAAAGCAATGGCTTTTTCTTTAAAACAAAGAAATACAATCAAGCAACAATCCCTACCTTATTCAGCGTTCTCAGGTCCTCCATTATTTGCTCATCAGTCAACAAATAATTTAGCTGAGGTATCCAGAATTAAGGTTCCCATAAGCTCTTGACAAGCAAGGCTAAAAATTAAAGGTCAATGACATTTCACTTGACTAAATGTAAGCCAAAAGGTTTCTGTAAATTTGCATAAGATTTTACTAAGTGTCATACTTGAGCTTTTTTTGTCATAGGAATTAATACAAGCCAATCTCCAACTGAGGCTCATCTTTAGCAGCAAACAGTGCAAAATGACTTTAATTTATTCAGACACAACCATCAATGGAAAACCTTTAGTGCATTGACATTTACTTCATGGAGACATCAAGCACCAGCATTTTCAGTGCTTTTTGTCTTGTATTTCTGTAGAGAAGAATCTGGGAGCTGGAACAACAGACTCACTTCAGATTTTGTACAAAGAAACCAAACCCCACCCACACCCAGGGAAATAAAACTCATCATTTTGCAACTCAGAAAGCAGGAGTAGAGAGATAGAGAGAAGAGGAGAAAGCCACACAAAATTAAATTAAAAAATTAAAGCCACAGGTACAAAACACAGCTTGTGTGGACGAGGATAAATAAGAGCCTGTAATGCACCTGAAAACAAACCCAAAACCCCAGAACACAGGAGTTAGTCTATTATAGTCTTATTAGAGCTTTGCTGTCCTTTTGTTTCTCCAAAACAGCTGTTAAGTCAAAAGTATTCAAAGCATTAAACTAAAGTTAACAATTGCTAGGCTGCATTTCCAGGATTTTGGTTCTGATGGACTTTAATCTCCCCCCAGTGTGGGGAGGCAGAGAGGGTTTCATACTGTGCCTGCTGTATCATGCTCAATTAGCAGGTCATGTTCACTATGAAACTCATTTATTTTGGACGAGATAGGGGCACTAATAAATGATCATATTTTCCCTGACAGAGTGAACAGAATCTCCAACCAGAAAGAGGTTAATTAAAACTGGAGATGCTTGTGACCATCCTGCATGAACTCCAGGAGTTCAAGGTTTGATACTGCCTTCAGAAAATGCCAGTCACTAAGATAAGTTTTTTTCTAATCTAAGACATACAAGTTTAGAATCTAATAATAAGCCTCTGCAAAGTAAATATCCTTGCCTTCCTTTGCAGGTGAATTTAATATACAAATATAAAAATTGCCTGTCATCACAGAGGAGCTAAAAACATATTTCCAGAAGCCAAGGAACATTTTAATTCTGAGACATGCAACAAGGCAGAACAGAAGGATTACATATACATGTGTTTCTCTCTCTTGTGAGACATAAAACCAGGATGAATTTTCATCTTTTCTTATTCAAAGAACAAATCTACCACTCCTTGCTTTTGCCATGCATTTTCTGGATTAGGGATCTGAAGCCTTTATCAGAAATGGAAAAACTAGTTTGATATGACAAATATGATCTTTCTGGTGAATGTTTTGTCACATCTTGAAATGAGAAAAGCTTTGGCTCATGTAAAAAGCCATTTACTATCTATGGAATCAATTATCTCAGCATATAAATATAATATCCTTTCAAAGTTTTTCCTTTGTGAAAAAAAAAATTGCCTGTAGAATTCAAACTATTCTGACAAATATAAAATTATCTCACGATACTGTAAGGTTTCAGTTAGGATACCAAGGGATCTCCAAACACAGGTTTTTACATACACATATTATATTACATAACTGCTGTATTGGTTTATCACACATTAGACATGACAGTTGTGCTTTGTTATTTCCTAGGTTAAATTTGATCCTAGCATTTAATTTCATTTTCCTTCCTGCACAACACAAAGGTGCAGGTGGCACACTGCCTTCAAATCCAACAGCCTTCCAGTGACTCTGTGAAAGGATATCAGGGGCAGGTTTCCTCCTCTTGTCTGGGATGGGAACTGGATCATTTGGTCGTCGCCTCAGTTTCCTTGTCATAATAGGCTTCACTTCCATTGAATCTGCAGAGTAATGAAGTTGGAGAGCTGATAAGACCAGAGAAAAAGGAGAAAGCAGCAGCAGCTTTCTACACAGGGCACGAGGAAAATAATCTTTCCTCTTTCATACAGCAAATTGAATTTTTTTTTCCTTTTTTTTTTTTTTTGTGGCAGCTTCCAGCACCTGGAGCGGGAAGTGCTGACAGTGAACACAAGTTCTCTTTGCCATCAGTCACTGTTCAGTGACTGCTGCAATGCCATGGTTACAGCTGTCATTTACAGCTGCTCCACGTACAGATAAGCAGCACAATGATGCTACAAGGATTCCAGGCAAATTTCTTCAATGCTAATTCTATCTGCTTGGGACAGAGCATTTAAAAGGCCAAGTTCGTGGAGCTCTTTGCCAACAAAACTCGGATCGTAATTGGCATGTCAAACATCTGCTACAAATCAATTAATGTTTTTCTCATCTTCAGTCAAGAAAAAGAGCTTTGTCAAAGGTATACAGAAAGTTACTGCATTCAAGACTGATACAAGTCTGCTGGAGCGATTTTAAACAAATAGAATTCAAATTCAGATTATCTAAAAATTATTAATGAAATGAACCTAATTAATGACATGCAGAGCAGCAGCTGACAGGAAATAAACTGCAGCATATGCACTGGGGAAAAAGGAAAAAAGTCTGTTTAAAGGTGAAACACCAGTCTCCTCACCAAGGAATTATCTGAAATGGCAGTTTGTCCAAGTGTCTACACAGAGCCTTAACTGAACAACTCCACCAAAACCCTCAGAACTCATTCCTTAATTTATGAAGATATTTTGAACTGGCGACCAAGAGACCACATTTTCAATGCCAAACACATCATGTCCCCTCTCTTTGTATGTGCTGAGATTTATTTGCTCATCTTTAGGTACCACTACAATCTGTGAAGCCCCTTTGGCTCCCTCTAGATGCTGAAACCTTGAGCAGCTCTGCCTGTGCAAAATACACCAAATTCCTTGTCTCCTCATCTCGAGGGTGAACAAGGATGACCACGAGACCAGACTTCGTAATTAAAAAAAGCTGTAAGGGGAACAGCATAACTCAAGCTGTTTGAGTTATCAACACTTTGTACCAAGCCAAAAGAACTCTTGAAGATGTCCAAACACGGTTTAATTCTCACTTCTGAGCACTAATTAGATTATTAGCTTATATAACACCTGTAGATAGTATGCAAGAAAGATGTGAAGGGTGTAACTCGTGGACAGGCCTCAACAAGAAAACCACTATCTACCCAGGAAGTGAGGGAGTTGCTCTCAAAATGAGAAACAAATCAGACTTTTGGTTCAAGATCACAGCAGTGCAATTCTGCAGGAGGTTAATTACCCCTCAAATTAGCTCCACTGTGTCAATTACTACAATGAGCACTGCCAAGGCAGCAAAGGCATCAACTGCTCTCAAAGAAATCTGTCCATTTAATGTAAATTTTCCAGAGTCTGGACACAAAAGCAGTTCGCAAATCTATTTTTCTGGTTTAAAGTAGAATATTTCAATGTTTATTGTCTGCCTTTCTTCAACTACTTGACCACCTACTACTGTAGGAAGAAAAGGGCACAGTTTACAACCTGGCATCACTGCTCAGGTCAATATTGTGACATATCTCAATAGTTTTACTGCCAGATCACAGGAACTAGAGCAGCCCATTTCCCTGTCTGTAAGAAAGCCCATCATCCACTCTGCTGCTTGACTGGCACTATTTGATTCACCTGTCAGCAATTCAGGTCACTGAATTTTATTAGGAACTGCTTTCTCCATTAAAAGGCCATCAATTTGTGTTCTACCCTCCTGGCATTTCACACCAGTTGTCTGTATAAACCATCATTGCCACCTTTAGAGCTTTTCCTCCTAAGCAGCAGCAGAGTGGATAAGATAAGTGACAGCTGCTTATCTTCTTCTTACCCCCTGTTAATTCCATGGTTAGCTTTTCATTCTCAATCATCTTCTTCTTCTCTTCCAGCTCCGCAATCAGATTTTCCTTAAGCTCAATTTTCTTATCTTCAAACTCCTTTGCTGCTGCCTTCTTTTCCTTCACATAATTTTTCTCCACCTGATCTGTCTAATGCAAACCAGAAGAGCAAGAAGGTTAATTAAGAGACCAATGATTCTAGTTAATGATATCACAACAGCTTTTCAAATGCTGTATTGATCAGCCTGTCAGTTCAAAACTGTAGGAGTTCTAAAGATTATCAATATTCATAATCAACAGAAAACCATCTAAATATGACTTAGTACCATTATATTGGCTAAAAAGTTAATTATTTTTAAAAAGACATTTTAATGTTGCATAACATATCAAGTCTCCTCAGATTTATAAACAGGACTATAATTTATTGCCTTAAACAACCTTTTTTAGGCAACCCAATGCACAGCCAGATACAACAGCCCAAAAGCAAATATTTAATTCTATTTTAACACCAAAGTGCAGAAGTTACTTGAAGTAGGCTGTACCACAACTCCAGTGTAACAAAGCCAGATAGAGGAAGAAAATTTCTTTAAGCCTCCTTGGAAAAGAAGCCCAAGTACTGGTTGATGAAACAGGTTTATACCTCTACCACCTATATATATATATATATATGTATATATATATATGAGTAAATTAAGAGTACTTACTTCCAGCTGCAGGAACAGTTCTGAAATGCAAGAAAGACTCACTTTATTATCTTCAAAGATGCACAAAATTACTTCCTCAACATTTTAAGCCATTGAATATTGCAGCCAAGACAGGCAGTGAACCAAACAGTGTATGTACTCATCCCACCTCTACTCTCACTTTTCAGTTTTATGCTGAAAATAAAGTAATCATGAAAGAATTTCACAAAAATATGCTGTTAATGTAAGTTATTTACAGACTGCCACCAAATTGAAAAGCTTGCACAGCAGTATTCCATAATATTCAGTTTGGCTACTACTCCCAGCAGTAATAAGCAGGTAGTTCATCTTTCTTCCTATTAAATTACAATCAATTAAGACTAGATAAAAACTTCCCATACAAGAGCTTGAAACATGCAACTAAATATTCACAGTTTAAGCCAACTTCATGAATTTCAGCAAAGACTGGTTAAGAAATAATTCTGCAGCTGTCAGAAGATTGATCTACTCAACTCACACGTGTGATTTCAGGCTCCTTATGCCTGAGAAAAGAAGGGAATTGTTGTGTAGCACTGAGGGTTAAGTGCCAACACATGGCAATGATTAGTTCAAGTCTGACCTATGGATGAGGGGAAGGGATTTGAGGGTGTGAAATAGCCTTGCTATTGATGTTTGTGCCATCTCTAACAACTTGAAATTAAGCAGGATTGCATTTCCTAGAGGACATAACAGCCAAAACAGAGTTTTTACTCAAGAGAGTGGCAACAAAAGCAAATTAAGGCACCTGATCAGCCTTCAAGTCACTGTATTTCACCAGCATATTAAGCTTTGGTAATACCTGAAACAGGAAAAGCTTCTGTAAAGACCACAAGCTTCAAATTTTGGAGAAGTTTTGGAGAAGACTGTAGTAGCAACACTGTACTGCTGGGCATTTTTAAACATGAATTAAAAAAAATATCAATAAAATAAATACCAAAGACAATAATGGCCCAGTAAAAAAAAAAAAAATCAAACCTTTTGTCTGCAAAGAGCTCTACCTGCTGAGCATGGAAGCAGTTGGATTTTTTAATCACAAAATTGAAAGTTATCACCATCTGCCCTCCTGTGGAAGAAATAAGCTGCTGCAGCACTGGCCTTGGCCAGCCAGAAATACCAGCTTGCACTTAGTCTTAATTTTATCAAAACAGCCCAGTATTGCCAGGATGCAGCTCTAGTGCACATGAAATTCATCTCAGAACACAAATTCCTGTTAACAAGAAGCAGTTCAAATCACTTAAGTTACTCAAGAAAATCCTTTATCATCCCAAGCACTTTTAGAAAGACAGAATTCACACTATTCAAAGGTCACAGTGTGTTGGCCATCATACAACTGCCACTGCCTCTCTGCTGTATTTCCCAGATTAACAGCCCAGGCATCACAGGATTCATCCAACTTCTCTAAAGGAGGAACAGCCACAATTCCTATTCCCACCTAATGGCTTCTATAAAAGGCCCTGCTTCAGCATCCAAGATAAGAATTACCAATTTCTTTCCTCAGGTGTTTTAAAAACCATAAATTTAAGTTGGATGCAGTGTCCTACAGAGAAATTCCACTTACCTGCATTTCGTATCCTTTCTTTGTACTGCTGGTCCAACTTCTTCATTCTTTTCTGGTATTCCTGAAGAGTACCTGGAGTGGAAATAAATTGTAGATTCCCACTGATTTTTAATTTTCCCCCAAATATTAAGTTTTCTAAAGGAGCCATGCACCACTTGAAGCACAAACACTAAAATCTGAGATCAGAAAATTACAGTTCTATCTTGTTCATTTGAAAAAGCATATTCCCTGCTTCTTCAGAAAGTGGATTACTCCCTTTAAGAAATGCTTTAGCACACAGAGGATTAACAACAAGTGTTTAGAGGGGAAAAGGATGGAAGTGGCTGACATTTTTAACTCAGCAGCACAGCTGAGAGCCCACATGCAGTGAAGGATGCAGCTTACATCTTTCAATGGCATTTGAAAAGTGCTGAAAATTGTTTAGGAATATAAAAAAGTCCCCCTTCAAAGTTTACCTTCCTGCAATTGCTGCAACTGCCTCTTCAGAGATGCCAGTTTGTCCTGATACATCCTGCAAAGACAGTCAGCATGAAACTTTACTTTGCAAACCAAGCATAGAGAGCCTATTCCACCATCTCTTTAGGTTACAACACATTGACACAGAATTAGGAACTTTTCAGAACTTCAGGAAACAAATGAACGACAAATTAAAAGAATTTTATTCAAATTCAAAGGTTTTCATTCTGTCTAAAAAAAAAAACCTCTGCCACCCCATTGGTTTTATGAACCAAATATTTTGGGAACAATTCACGATAAAATAGAATTGATTTTTATTAATGTTAATATCTAAAATGACATTTAGATCCACAAACACCAGAAGCTTTACAGCAGAATCATTCTGCCACTTGGGCAAGTCTTACTAATTGTATATTAGCTCCCTACATGTAACACAAGGCATCTCCTCATGTAGATCTTGACATTATTAAAAAAAAAACAACCCCAAAGACTATTCCTGGTTCTGTTGCAAACCTGCATTTCCTTTACCACGTATCTGTGGTTTAACACAGGCCAAGCCTTCCTGACCTGTATAAAAACACGTCACTTCCAGTAAGCAAGAACTCAAAATACTGCAAATACTCCTGAACATCACAGGAAACCACTTCCAGTCTCCAAAAAGCCCATTTCTGGGACGGGACTAGCATTCCATTGTTTAAGGGATTTTGATAGGCATCTTGCTTTTTCTTAGCTTATATAAAGCAGATCCTTTGTTTTATTTAAAGCAGCAGGAGCCATTTGCAGCAAAACTCAAAAGTCATAATTATTTCTTTAACCAAAAGAGCAGCAGCACTTAATTCCTTGAACACATATAGACCAGAGAAAGTAACTGAGAAGAGCAGAAATACAAGTATATGGTCTTATGAGCTGTTCCATTGGGCTAGGCATTTAAAAACCCCAATCTTGACTCAAAACTCTGCAGTTTTGTGAAAATAACATCCCCAAACCCACAGATAAACAGAATATTACCTTACTTTGGATTAGTGTGGGTTACTTACTGTTCTTTCATTTCTACAAAGTCCTCCTCGTCGTGCTTGGCCAGGTCAGTCTCACTGGCATCCTCAGTGTCTAAAGGAGGTAAAAACCAACTTGTTAACATTAAAGACTAAAAGAAAATATTTAAAAACATGGAAACAAGCAAACAAAAAAACAATCCCCAAACCTCAGGCAATTTAACCTCAAAGACACAACCTGAGGGGCCTCTGCAGAGATGAATTCAAGGGTGGAACAAACCCTCTCATCTCCTTCCTGCAACTGGGAGTTTTGCAGTGAAGCTTTACATCAAATCTGAACAACTCCCAACTTCAGAGAGCCTGGGAATTTCTTCCCATTTAAGACAACTGGCTCTGCATTAATGGTCCCACATACACAGGTGAGACAGGAAAGACTCTGTAAGACCTTTCACAAACTTGTCACTACAGTTCCACCCACTCAAAGCTGCTCAGGTTGATCACAAAGGTCTCACTGAAGAGAACAGTTACTCGCTGTGACCTGAACTTCACAGCTACACATCACTCAGAAGCACTTCAACATTTAACAACAAACACCAGCACTGCCACAAAAACAGCTCCACTTTATAAACAGGTAACATAAACAAATTAAACCACTGTGGGGCTGCTGGTTTTCTGCTGAGCCTTTTCAGGCTTCTATTTATAACACATGGGTAGCCAAGAATCCATCAGATTTCCTCCCCAAGGAGAGGTCAGTGTCTCCAGGCTTTACAGGGCACAGCTGTGAAACTTAATCAAAGCTACATTCCCTACACAGGGAAGGGGGCCCAGACCCTTAAATCAAACCTTTCTCAGATTTTCTCTAAACCTACCAACGGTTTAAGCTCACAGCAAAGATAAATCAAAAAGTTTTAACTGCAAGAAAAGCACTTAAGATGTCTGGGTCACCATAAAGGACTTCCATACCCAATTTAGTTGGGTGTAGCCTTGGAGAGCCCTGACTGACCCAAACACTGTCAGGATCTTTAACAATCCCCCATCCATGACCACACCAGAGGTGATGGAGGGCTCTGCTGAAGGCAGCAGGCACTGTCCAAGGGTCTTCCTCCATCCCCCTTATTTGTTATTTTATGCACCCTACACCCCTGGGTACTTCGTGTTTTACTTCATTTCTTCTTTTCCTCTACAAATCCCCTCTTTCCTCTCACATCCTCCCTCACTGCTGTCCACACTTTCTCCTCCCTTAGCTGCCTCCTTCCCCCTTCACACCACAGAAATAAAACCAGTATACGAGATTCCTCCACCATTTTCCCCCTGCTGCCCCACTCCATCAATACACTGCATTTCTCCACTATTTTCACCCTGCTATCCCACTCAATTAACACTGGATTTCCCCGGTTTTCCCCCTGCTGCCCCACTCAATCAATACACTGGGTTTCTCCACTATTTTCCCTCTGCTGTCCCACTCAATGCCCCCTGCTCAGCTCCCTCCCGTCTTCCTCCTCCTCACCCGGAAAACCACAACTCCACCTCTCCATGGACTCGGCTGTCCTACTCTTGCACGGGGCACCCCTGCAACCCGACAGGTCCTTGTTTTCCTCGGGCGTTCTCGCTGCTCCAGAGCCTTTAACCACCCAACCCTCCCGCATCCCCCCGGCCGGGGTGTGCCCCCTTCTCCATCCCCCTCTCCCACACCGTCCCAGGGCACCAAACCCTCACCCACCCTCATCGGAGTCGCGGGCCCGGGCGCTGCGCTCGCCGTCCTCCTCCTCGGCGCTCTCCAGCTCCTCCTCCTCGTAGTAGTCGGGCGCGGGGGCCATGGCGGGGGCGGGCGGCCCCGGCGGGGCGGCGGGGGGAGCGGACACGAGCCCGGCCGCGCTCATGGCCGCGGGGGGGGCTCCGGGAGCGGCAGCGGCCGGGACGGACCGGGCGGAGCGGCCGCCGCTCGGCAACCGCGCCGGGAACCGCGGGCACGGCGCTTCCGCTTCCGGGCGGCGCGGCCCCGCCCCGGCAGCGCGAGGGACACGGGTTCGAGTCCCCGCCCCGCCAACACCGCGGTGCTTGAGGGTTTTATTTCTCTGCTTTTTATGGCTCGTCTCCCTTTTGGGGCACTTGTGTTGCAGGATTCTGGGCGTCTCGGGACGAGGTGCATGGAGGTCCTGGAGCCAGGCCAGTGGAGGGTGAAAGTTGATCCAGGCACTGGAGCATCTCTGTGAGGAGGAGAGGCTGAGGGAGCTCTCGTGGGTCTCTACAACTGCCTGAAAGGAGGTTGTAGCGAGGCGGGGGACAGTCTTTGCTATCGTGCCTGCAGTGAGAGGACCACAGTAAATGGCCTTAATCTAAGACAGAGGAGATTTAGGTCAGATATTAGAAAAAAAAAAAAAAATCACTCTTAGGGCAATCAGGCATTGGAATATGTTGCTCAGGGCTGTTCAAGAGGCATCTGGGCCTGGCACGGGGTGATATGACTGTAGTGGTTTAGGGGTTATAGTAGCATTGCTGGGTGAATGGTTGGACTTGATGATCTTAAAGGTCTCTTCCAACCTTGATGATTCTGTGAGCTGGGCCTGCTCAGCCTGGAGAAGAGACAACTGAGAGAGGGTCCTGTCCATGTCTGTCAGCGTGTGCAGGGAGGGGTCAGAGGATGGACCAGGCTCTGCTCAGGGGGGGCGGCTCAGCAATGGGAGAAGAGGAACAGGCAGGAACTGATGCCCAGGAAGTTCCACCTGAACACAAAGAAGAACTTCTTCACCGTGGGGGTGACTGAGCACAGGAACAGGTTGCCCAGAGAGGGTATGGAGTCTCCCTCACTGGAGATATTCCAGCCATCTGGACACAATCCTATGCCATGTGCTTTGGGATGCCCTTGCCTGAAGAGGGAGGTTGGACCAGATGACCCACTGTGGTCCCTTCCAACCTGACCCATCCTGGGATTCTGTGGTACAGACACACAGCAGAGCTGCTCCTCAGCAGGCAAGGAGCAGGACCTTGCCGTGCTAGGAATGGACTTTTTAGAACACTTTGTACTCACCCAAACTTTGTTATATTTTTATACAGAAATTGCTTCCCTGTTCCTCCATACTCACAGCAAAGCCCCACCACAGCACTGTGATCTCACCTTCACCCAGGTGAAGCAGTTCCTTCCTGCCAGCAAACAGCAGCTTCTAGAACACGTGCCCAAATCCATCAGGAATGCCCCAAATCTGCCAGGCACACGTTATCCTCCTGACTAGACACTGCTACAGAATTAAGGACCAAGACACAGATCCTGTGTGAGATTCACCCCAGGTTAAAATCAGGATCTGAAAATGCCTCACATGGATATTCCAGGCTAAATATCTCACCTATCTTATTTCTGCAGCTCAAAGTCTAAGGGAAGGACTAATTAGTCTCCTTGCCTCCAGCACAGCCACACCAATGGCTCACCTTCAGCTGTGAGGTGCATTCCTCACATGCAGAGCTTATTGACTCACTGAGGCACTACGAGCACCTCACCGAGGGGAAGGAAATGGGTTTGGTCTAAAGGACTGAGCTCCAAAACCTGCAGCACTTCTCCAAACCCGCCGAGCCGGGCGCTCGGCACCCAGAGCAGCACCAGGTCACGCTCTTGGTGTTCTGACAAGAGCTGCAATAACGCAGTGCAGGCACTTGGCTCTCCTGCAGTTCACCCCAAAGGTCTGTTTGCCCAGACTGACAATTTTTAACTCGGAACGCCCATGCCAAGTATGCCCGGTGCCTTTTTCCATAAGTCAACATCGCCTGTAACAGGAGCCAGGCTGAGGCGCGGCCAAAAGTCAGCACCACCCCGGAGCAGCTCCCAGGGCTTTTGGGAGCATTTGACTGGTCCCAGGGGAGAGACACCACCAGAGCTGCTCACTAAACCTCTCCTTTTCCAAGGAGTGCCGGGGGTTATCAGCATCTTGGAAAGCGCTCCTTTCCCCCTCTCTCCCCACTCAGGCAGCGCGGCTGGCAGAGCTGCCCGCGGGGCGAACAGGAAAGGGTGTGGTGGCAGCTGCCACATCGCATGAGCTGCCTGGTGCCCACGAGTTTTTGTCCTCTCCCCGCTCACACCTGGCTTGAAGTGCTCAAATCGCTTCCCAAAGTTATACAGTCACAGAGCTAAACCTAGAAACTGGACTGCAGGACTCAACCTCTTTCTCAGAACTAACCAGAGCCCCCTTAAAACTTTACAAACATTTCCCCCTTCCTTCCCCATTTCCTGTCTGTATCTGTTCCATCTGTCCACACACTCGGCTCACCCGCTCCCCTGCCCGCCTGGTTCGTGCTGCTGGGGACACCCGACTAGTTGTGTGTCTGAACCACGGCTGCCCTCCCAAGGTGAATCTGCCCTGCCTCACGCCGCCTCAGCACTTTCGGTTTGGAGCCGATTTACCCTCCCAGCACAGCCCTTCACACTCCAGGAGGGCGGAGGTACCAAGAGGAGGGCACAGGAGCCCCCTGAACAGGAGCGGGGCGCAGCCAGCGGGTAAGAAACTGCAAACAGCTGCCGATGCAACGCTTTTTAGCTCATTCTGCGGTCAAAACTGGGATCTCGCTGTTGCTCCCTCCGTGCTAATTCCTCCTGTTTAATAGGAGCCTTCTGGAGACACCCTCTGCTGTCATCTCTCAGGCATTCAGTGGGAACCCGAGGGAGGAGGCTCAGCTGTAAGGAATGCCATGTTTCCCTTACAAACGCAGAAACTTAACTGTCTACGCCCCAAGGAGCTGTCAGGGAAAGTGTAAAATTGCCTGTCAAGCTGTTGTTCTTGGCTCGTGCCTCCATCAGAGCTGTTGTTCTCATCGCAACTCATTTAGTGTTTTATACACACTCACTTTGAGGAGAGATTTCTGCCTCCTGCCTGGTCAGCACCAGCTTTTCACAGAGCAGCTGACACACGAGTCATGCTTGCTGTGCCCTTCTTTTCATTTGCAAGAAATAGAGGGGAAAAAATAGGTTATAAGCTGAGCTTTATAAACAGGAAACTCGTTTATTGTGTGAATTGCAGCACTGCAATGAGAAAAGCTGAAACTGTACCTTGGCCTTTGAGGCACAGGACACACCAACACCCCTCACCTGGGACTCACGGCTCTCAGGTTTCTGTACCTCTGGTTTCACAGGGCTCTGTGAGGATGGTTCTAGAAGCCCAAGAGGGGAACAGCTGTCAGTTTTATTTAGAAAAATTATTAACCACCCCCCCATCCTGTCAAATAAGCTTCTGTAACAATAAAGTGTCTCTAGGCTCAGAGTCTGGGGGGAACTATAAAGTATGGCAGAAACAGGATAAACTCACCTTTCCCTGCCTCTACTCCAAGCATTTCCTAATCCAGAGCTCTCCATCCCTGCTACAGTCCCTTCTCCTTTGTGCCTTTGACTGCTGCAAAGTCCCATCTGCTCCTCTTTGGTTACCAGGAGCCTCTTCCTGCTGGGATCTGCCACAGGACACACGGTCCTTGTCCTGGCTCTCCAACACCTGCAGCACGTACTGGAAGCCTCAGAGCTGCCCTTTTACCCTGCCCAAAGTGTCCCCCTCACACACCTGAGCCCACTATAGACCCTGACAATGGCCCCCACACCTGAGACCCCTATAAATCCTGATAGCCCCATACACACACCTGAGACCCCTATAGACTCTGACACCCCCCCATACACACACCTGAAGCCCCTATAAACCCTGACACCCCCATGCACACACCTGAGACCCTATAAACTCTGATACCTCCATACACACACCTGAGACCACTATGACCCCCACAGCCCCATACACACATACCTGAGCCTCCTATGGGCACTGTCATCCCTTCACACACACACCTGAGGCTACTACAGGGGGCCCAGCTGCCCTCACACACCTGAGACCATTATAGGTCCACAAGTCCTTCCCACACGCCCCTGATCCCACTAAAGACCCTGACACTCCCATACACACTCCCCTGATCCCACTACAGACCCCGAGACTCCCATAAACACACCCGATCCCAGTACAGACCCTGACATCCTGATACACACCCCCCAATCCCACTACAGACCCTGAGACCTCATATCCCCGTGATCCTACTAGACACCCCGAGACTACCATACATACAGACACTGAGACCCTCATACACACCTCCCTGACCCCCCTACACACCCCAATCCCCCTTTTCTCCTCAGACACCCCCCCCCCTTCCCCTCAGCTCCCGCCGGGACCGCTCAGGTCGCTCAATCGAGCGCCGATGCCCCGGGCGGTTCGATCCGCGGGGCGGTGCCGCTCCCCTGCCCCGCCTGCCCCGCCAGGCCGTGCAGCCGAGCGCCGAGCGGGGCCGGGCAGGAAGCGGCGGTGACGGGCACGGCCCGGCGGACACGCTCCGTCCTCCTCCTCCTCCTCCTCCTCCTCCTCCTCCTCCTCCTCCTCCTC